AAAAAACCCTAACCACAACAACAACCAAACAATTACACAATTGACAATTAACACATAATATTTCAATCTCCAATTAAACATACACACATAATCGTTAATCAATTAGCAATTTCAATCTTCAAACACCAACACATTCAAACATATTATAACAATTATCAATCTCCAAAAAACTCCAAACGAATATAAAAAGTTAAGATAAACCAATATACCTCGTGCGAATGAATTAACTGGAAGTAAGGCCCGTGTCGCTGTTGTCGGTTCACGTTGGAGTGAAGATTGGATCGATTTTTTTTTTCTCAAGTATTTTCGCTCTTTCTCTTTGAAACTCTGCTCTCAGTTGCTCCTCTCTGTTGCTGCTCGCGTAAAATGAATGGAGAAGAAGATTTTTTTTTTTAATATATTTTACATAAAACGTATTTAAGGAATACGTTTTTTGTGCATTTAATTGTAAAACATATTCCTTAAATACGTTTCACTTAAATGTATTTTCTAAAATAAAATTAAATTTTTATAAGACATATTTCATGAATACGTTTTACTAAAACGTATTACTCAAATAAGTATTTTATTTATTTATTTTTATTTAACGAAAACCATTTTGAAAATTGTTTACGATTTTTTTTAATTAAAATATTTAAATGAAAATGTATTCAAGGAATACGATTTATTAAATAATTTTTTTTTAAAAAAACGTATTCAAGGAATACGTGGTTTTTATGCTTGTCCACCCCCTTTTTTCTTTTTTTTTTGTCCACTTAATTTCTATATATTTTTTTTTAAATAAATCACCCGACCACCGGCTGTATTTGTTTCCATTTTGAGGCACATTTTATAACTTTTCTAAAATAATTTTTTTTACTTTAATATAAATTAGTACAATGCCCGTGTATTACACGGGTGCTTGCTAATTTTTTCTTAAACTATAAAATTAATGAGAAAAATTAGTGGAAAATTCAAATACCTTTATTAAAAACTAGTACAACACCCGTGTATTACATGAGTTCTTGTTAAAAAAATTTTCTTAAATTTTAAATTTATGAGAAAACTATATTAAATTTAGTCTACTTTTTTACAAAAAAAATATATTACTATATACTTTAGAATGATATGTGTTACTTATGACTTACATGTGTTATATTATACTAGTTTTTATAACTTATATCATATAACTACTTGAAACATAAATATTAATTGATAAATAATTTTATTTTTCTAATTAATATTAAAAATAATTTTATTATTGTTATAAAGATAAATATAAATTATTATTTTTTTTATACATACAATATGGATGTTAAATCGAAGCTCATCAAAAGAAGATTAATTTGATATATTACATATGTAAAACTGATAAAAAATACAAAAGTTATTAACTTTTAAAAATATATATACAATTCAATAGTTATAATAAGGAATGATATTAAAATGCAATTAATACATGTAACATGACCATAAATAATCAACATATTTATGGTAATCCGAACCTAATTATTTTTGGTTTGGAATTAAATTAAAATTTACCCAAGGCTAATAACGAAAGCATGTAATTTTGCCACATAGGATTCCGAAGCACCAGAAGCATCCACGTAGGCTCAGCGCGTTCTGGATTAATATATAGGGGGATACTAGTACAACACCCGTGTATTACACGGCTGCTTGTTAAAAAATTATTCTTAAATTTTAAAATTAATGAGAAAACTACAATAAATTTAGTTTACTTTCTTACAAAAAAAAAAAATATATTACTATATAGTTTAGAATGATATGTGTTACTTATGACTTACATGTGTTATATTATATTAGTTTTTATAATTTATATCATATAACTACTTG